AAGAGAAGAGAAGAGAAGAGAAGAGAAGAGAAGAGAAGAGAAGAGAAGAGAAGAGAAGAGAAGAGAAGAGAAGAGAAGAGAAGAGAAGAGATTTCACTTTAGTGGAAGAACAAACCTCTTAATAACCTGCCATCCTGCCATGTCGCCCCCCTACCCCCGTCATCATCAACACAAGATCCTCACTCACAGAGATCTCCGCTGCCCTCTGAGTCAGCTGATAAGCCCCTCATCATTTTTGTCAATGTCAGTGTGACAGATCAATGATGGGTTCTGGCTTCCATGAGGCCTTTTGTTCCCTGTGAACCACTGGACACCCCAGGTGCCCTAGGCTTTGCTACTTGTCTCTTGTTCTTTCGTTTAGCAGCATGTGCACTGTAACAACTTGTAGGAAATTGGGGGATCACTACAGAGGGCATCAATCATTTCAGGAGATTAACATTCTTTAACTTTGAAACAAATTGTAAAGTGTAAATTACCAACTAAAGCCAATGAAGACTCAGATGAGAAGACAATAATAAACTTGCTTATTTTTTATTTAATGTGCCACATTCAATTATCTCCATTATAAATTCTACTGCAGATCCCAATTCTAGATCACCCTCTATGTTCTTTTTCCTAATTCTACTTGTTCCCATTAAATGTTTAATTTTACCTCTTCCACATTTTAGTTTTGCATGGAAGGACAGTGTCATAAGAGAAAGAGTGACAGAAAAACTATTTTCTGTCAAGTGTTATGGTGATGGTAAGACAAATGGAACATCGGCCCTTCCGTGTGCCAAACTCTGAAACAGCACATGTGACGCTGGGCAAGAATTACTTTTGGCTTCTAGTAGTGCCATCGGGTTGGCTGCCAGAAATAATTACACAGAATTCAGGAGAATCCAAGCCATGTCCTTGGGAATACAGTCCCAGACTTCCGAGAAAACAAAGAGTCTTAAACAATGTCTTAGACTGGGAATAAATCTCTGGAAAGAAGAGCCAGCCCTCAGAAGTCATGGATTGAAGTGATTCCAACCACATCATTAGAAGAGTAGAATAAATAGGAGCAGGCAGAAGAGTGCCTTCAATTCCTGTATTTATTTAATCATTTTATTATTTATTAATTTATATGTAAATTATGTGTTCCAAAATCTGAGCTAACAGTAGAGTTTCACACTTACTTCCCATTGTCTCATTTTTTTACCTTTGAAATGAGTGAGTAAGTAAAGAGAATTAGTAATTCTAGTGTTAATGATAAACAGGGTGGGGCGATAGCTCAGCTGTCTAAGCACCTGGATGACAAGTGCAAGAACCCTGGTTCAATCCCCAGGACTTCATGCAGTGTGGGCCTCCAAACCCCGGAGCACAGTGAAGGGCCCAGAACCAGGCATGGTAGCACATACCTGTAATCCCAGCACTGGGGAGGCTGAGACAGGAAGATAACTGTGAGTCTAAACTGCATAGCAAGACCCTGCATCAAATAAATTTAAAATAATAATAATAATTCTAAACAGAGTATTTGTGCAAATCCCAATGCAAAAAGCTTATTTTACGTGTTAAGTCTATGTCATTTTTGCAAAAATTCTGGGGCTTTTCCCACCACAAAGTTTCAATTGAGACATAAATACACACTTCAGCAAATAGGTAGAACACTCCCGAACAGAGCAAAGAGCTTTCAGAAAAGGTTCTGATTAGGGTGCTTACAAACACAGAAGTGCCATTCACAAATTTCTCTTAACTGAGGCCCTGTCTCATTGTAACAACTGTTTTTAAGGGTTCTATTTGCCTAGATGGAAGCCCTAATGGCAGAGGTAGGAACTGGGAAGAAAGGGAGAGAGTAACACCGTGGTGACATGACTCTTCTGTAAAGCTATACCTGTGTTCTCTCTGAGTCATCTCACAGAGATACTAAGTCTGCATTTTGTTCAACAGCCAGGACCACATGCCTACATAGGATGCCCTCAGGGTCACCCAACTTTAAGGCACTCACAAGCTAATGTAGAAAATCTCTAAAGCTTCATTCCCCAAGCTTTTTGTTTGTTTTTTGACAAAACCAGCTATTGAACTCAGGCCCTTGTGCTTGCCAGGCAAATAATTATTCTACTGAGCTATCTCCCTGGGCCCATCCCCAAGCTTCTTGACGAGAAATCTTCTCTTTTTCTAAGCAAAGCTAACTGCAACTTTCCTAAATATTCTAGGTCAAAAGCAGCAAAGTAAGTTGTAGGGCTTTTTAAAACACAAACTGCTGAATTTCTGGTCCAAGAGAACAGTTCTCAGAATTTACTTGACATATTTCCAAGGACTTGAGATGTTAGTCTGTGAATCATACAATAAGAACCACTTTTCCTAAACTCTTATTGCTCATTTTCTTTTCTCTTGTTGGAAAAAAACACATGTGAACAATCTTAATACTGGAGTTATTAGAAAAGCAAGCACTATGCATCTCAAGCTTGGGGATCCTATGGCTTTTACTAAACACCGTTCTCAGTAAGAAAATCAAATGTGGGGCTGAAGAGTCTGTTTCTCTAACAAAGACTCAGACATGCCAATACTTTTGTTGATTTGAACATATTTTAAAGTTTAAAATTCTAAGCTCTTTTGCTTAAACACTTCTTTCTAGATAGTAAAATCTGCAGGGACAATTATTTTTCCTTCTTCCTCCCATGTTAAAGCAAGTACTCTATCTTTCTCACCCTTCACAAGCTCCTGCATAACCATCCAGTGTAGCCTGTTCTTATTTCTGTAAGTTAAATAAAACTCCTGTTTTGAAAAGAAAGACTCTGTACAAACATTTTGTCTGAATTTTAATGTTTATCATCTTTCTCATTCATGCTGGTAGTAAACTTATTTAGGTTCAATCCTGCTTGTCCCATAGGACTTTTATTATTCTCACATATGCCAAATGTTTTCAAGGCATTTTGTCTCGCTTTTATTTTTCCTTGAAATGTATTCTTATTTATCAATATGTTGTATTATAATATTCTTACCGCATCAAAGATTTTTGTAGCGAGTATTCAGTTATTTTTGTACATAATTTTATTGAGTTAGACATTCTTTTATTAGCTGTGCATTCATAATTATAGAGGAGTTGGGTCTTCCTCTTCTGATTTAACATTCCTAAAGTTAGCAGATGGGTTAGCATCCCTCCTTTAAGGGGTCTCTCTCAAGGTCTGCAGCTTTCGTCAGGCCTAGGATTTATGGAAAAGCTTGAGGATACCTTTGCGGATTTCCTTGGTCTTCACACTGTAGATGATAGGGTTGAGCATGGGAGGCACAAACAGGTACACATTTGACATCATGACGTGTACAACAGATGGAGCATTTTTCCAAAATCGATGGATCATGGAAACAGCAATGATGGGCACATAAAAGGCCAGCACTGCACAGATGTGTGACATGCAGGTGTTGAGAGCCTTAAGCCGTTGCTCCTGGGATGCAATGGCCATCACAGCTCTCAAAATCAAGGCATAAGAAAGAAGGATGAAAACTGAGTCCACCCCATAGGTGAAAATGACCACAAAGAGTCCATAGATGTTGTTCACACGGGTGTCTCCACAAGCCACCTTCATGAGATCTGGATGCAGACAATAGGAGTGATGCAAAACATTGCCTTTGCAGAAAGGCAGTCTTTTTACCAGAAAGGGGAAAGGGAACAGAGTGGTAAAACTCTTGGTAAGAATTCCCAGTCCCGTGGTCAATATGCGGCTATTGGTGAGCACTGCGGCATAGCGTAATGGGTCACAAATAGCCACAAAACGATCAAAACTCATGGCCAGCAGTATGCCTGATTCCATGAAAGAGAAAGTGTGAATGAAGAACATCTGGACCAAGCAAGCATCAAATCCAACCCGGCGGTAGTTGAAGCAGAAGGTGGCAAGAACAGTGGGAAGAGTGGAAAAGGACACACCCAGGTCATTGAGAGACAGCATGGAGAGGAAGTAATACATGGGCTGGTGCAGAGCAGGCTCACGGACCACCAGGGCAAGGATGCTGAGGTTGCCCAAAATGGAGACCAAACAAAGGATGCAGAAAACCAGGACAACCCAGGCCTGGCCTGTGTGCATCCCTGGAATGCCCGTCAACTGGAACATTTCTGGCTGGAAAGGAGTGCCATTGAGGCCCTGCATGACAAGCAAGTGGGAGGAAATGGATGGGGCCGGGCCCAAAGGGATATGTTGCAGTGATCTTCACGTTATTCTTTCAGATATCCTCTCTTCCACACACAAAAATCAGGGACTAAAAATGTGTGCATATGTTCCAGCTTGTCACATGAGACTCTGGGTGATTTGGGGAAGACAGTGGGTTCCTTTTGTTTCTCTACCAGCAGTGCCCTGTATACCTTCTAAGCCATTTGGATACTCCATGGAAGTTTGGTGACCAAGTGAGTGCCTGAAACATGGCAAGACAACAAGGAAGCACTGTGAGTGAGTGTTCTAATACTCACCTTACATTGCACTCTCCCATCACTTTCCTATCAGCCACAGAGCCTAGACCATGTAGCTCAGGGGGAGATATAAATTAGTATAAACCAGAAATAGGAAACATCATGCATATCCTTGGGAAGTCTTCATTAGATGGCCCAGGTAGACTATCTACAGTCATAAGATTAATCATAATATGGGCTGGTGAGATGGCTCAGTGGTCTAAAGCACCTACTTAGAACAAGCTTAGCAAAGCACAGGGACTGCAGTTCAATCCCCCAGCACCACATGCCAGCCAGCCCTGCCCCCTGGTGGGCTGAGCTGGCCACACACACACACACACACACACACACACACACACAGACAAATAAATAAATAATTTTTAAAAAAGAAAATATATTTTAAAAAATTAATCATAACATCAATAACCTTGACTCAGAGTTTACTAAAACTTCCTAATTCCAATCAAGCCTAAACTGGTTATCAGCCAAAACTGGTCTACAGTGTTGAGCTTGTTGGTGCACACCTGTAATCCCAGCACTTGGGAGGATGAGGCAGGAGGATTGGTGCAAGTTCAAGACCAGCCTGGGCCACAAAGTAAGTTCAAGGACAGCCTGAGCTGCATAGTGAAAGCCTATCTGAAAAAGATCAAAAATTTTTTTAAAAGCCTTGATTTACATCACAAACCTTAAATTTGTGTATTTATTTAACATTTCTAATTTAATTGGGTTTTTTATTTGTTTGTTTAACATTATCCTACAAATTGAACCCAAGGACTTCCTTGGGCATTTAATTTTTTAATTTTTTAATTTTTATTTTAAAGACAGAAAATGAAAACAAATAAAAAGAACAAAGACAAAAAGGTACCATAAGAAAATAAAAGTGGTACAGGATTTCAAAACAAGAAGAGGAAATTAACAATGGTTGCTATATGGCATATTGTCATCATCAAATTTGTTGCTCCAGCTACCAAATATAAGCATGTAGGATTGATCAAATAGTTACAACATTAACCCTTCCTTTCAATAAGGCTTAAAATTATTTTTCTTTTGTCCTTTCTATTTTTTAGTTTATTTTAAAGAGAGTATAAAAATAGTAGATAAGACATTAAAAAAGATACATACTTTTTAAAAATCAGAAAAAAAAACGAACTGGAAGGTATTCAACAGTGGTTGTTATAATCACTGTCTGCAATGTAGTTGGTCAGATTACAGATACTAGCATATAAAATTAGTCAAAGTAAAAATTTTAAGCATTAACTGTTACCTTAAAAAAAACTGATAGAAATTAGTAGTCCAATCATCTTACCTATCCTTTCTCTCATCTCAATAGTTTTTTTCTTATGTTCAGTTTCTTTCCCTATTACCATATCTATTGTATCTTTCAGGTTTTATTTATTCTTTCAGGTTCCTACACTTGGGAGACTACAACGTTTACACAAGTGGGTCTGATTTATTTCACTTATGAGTATAGCATCTAGTCACATCCATTTTCATATAAAAGCCTTAAATTTATGTTTCTTTAAAGGTAACACTCTGTTGTATAAAAATACATCTTTTTTTTCAGGATCTTTCATAGGAATCTTTTATTTAAGAAATGATGTGGCTCTGAGAGTTCAGTCAGTTAAGGGAAACAACAGATATGTTTAGTGGCAAATGTAGCACAGGATCTTATGTCAGAAAAATACATCTTTTTTATCCATTCCTCAGTTGATGGAAATTTGGAGAATACAAAAAATAGTTTTAAAAAAAAACATTAAAAACAACGAAGAATTTCACTAACCAAAATGATAGAGATTCAACAATGGTTTTTATACTGTATATTGTTGTCTTCAAATTAGTTGTTCAAATTACCAGATAATGGCCTGTATGATTGGTCCAAAAAATTATAAAAATTAAACAGGAGAAGAAAAGCTTAAGCATTGACTGTTCCTTTCAATATACCAGCAGAAATCAGCAGTACAATTATCCAAGCTATCCTATGTACATACATATATTTCTTTTTCCTATCCTTTCTTTCTTTTCTCCTTTCTTTCATCCTTGTAATTTTTAAATTTTGAGTCAAGGTCTTACTAAATTGCTAAATAACCCAGGCAGGGCTTGAGTTTACAATCCTCCTCCCTCAGCCTTCCGTTGGAACTACAGATGTGTACCACCATGCCCCATTCACTTGTCCACACTTTTATCGGTCTTCTATGTCCCATCTGCTTTCTCACATCTGTTCTGGCATCTTCGTAATTTCTCCATCTCCTTCTGGTCTCTTTGTCTATTAACTTTTCTTTCTCCACTTTTTTCATGACCCTGTTTCACCACCAAGAATTATATATTTTCCCCCTCTTTCATCTCCCTTTTTTTCACTTAACAAACTCCAACTTTGAAAAAATGGAAGCAAAGCTTTTTAAAATAAGGAGAGGAAGAGGGATTGAAGAGAGGGGAGAAAAATAGATTCTTTCCTTCTCACTACAGGTTTAAAGTCAATGTCTTTGAAAGTCTTTTGGTATACGGACTGTCTATACTGGTTTTTAAAAATCATTTTACTCCATGACTATCTCTGAGTTCTGAAGAAATAAGAAAACTCTTAGAAACACCAAGAAATATTAAGAACACTTTCAACAGATACACTTAACCCACTGTCCATATTCTCTACTAGACAAGGAAGATAGGGTAGAGGTAACATTGTATCTACACTTCATGTCTTCTCTGTAGAAAACATTTTTGAATATTTCTCCCCAGGAGAACTATATCCCACTGCCAGCCCAAATCATTTGCCTTTGCTTTGTCCATGCATGTGCAATCAAAGCTTTCTATCATTTCTGACTGAGGAATGAAGGCTAGGAAGATGGAGATTAGGGCTGCCTAATAGGGTATATACTCAAAGGTACAATACATAATTCCACACTTCCAAACACACTCACACTTCCAGATAGTCATAGATATTGTCTCAATTCACACTGCACATATACTGCAATCTACTCTCTTGGTCCCACAAAACATTATCACACCAAAGAATTAAAAAACATTTGTGGCTGCTCATTGGTATGTTTCAAGTACTCACTCATATATGTAAGTTCCTGAGCTATGTATACACACCCACCCATGCTCAGATACACACACACACACACACACACACACATACACACACACACAGTGTCACAAATTCAACAACTTTAATAACCCCACATTAATAACCCGACTAATGATATTCCCATGACATACCCAGTCCTACAAGTCAACTGAAGTTGTAGATCATATTGTTGAGTGACATAGTTTATTTCTCTCTGTGATTTTCCCCCAGATGGTAATCCAACAGCCTGGTATAGGAGATAATAACTTAAATCATAAGGTTTTGAAATAAGCCATACGAAATATTCTCTAGACAAAATCTAGATCTCTTGCCCTAGCACTTTAGCCTAATAGTAGGTGGTTTGCTTTTAGGGTTTTATTTCTCCGTGATCTTATGCTTTGGAAGGAGATAGATTTGACTCATGTTTGGACAGGAAGTCTGAAGGCTGGGCTTTGCCTGAAGCTTTGGTGATAATATTAAAATTGGAGCCAGCATCTAGATAATGAGGGCCGGCCCACAGCAAGAGGAGAGAGCACTTACTGGAAGGAGGCAGCTTCTTAGTTGTGTGCCTTGAGGTACTGTGTTGTGTTGCAGCCGAACAGTGGCATCAGCCTGTTCTTCTATGCCATAAATTTATAAATGTCCCCAAATCCCAGTGCTTCTTTGTATTTGGTGGAAGGAAAAGGAGAAATGGAGGCTATTAAGAGGGTGATAGCAATGAGCCATTGGAGAATTACTCCCAAGAGAATTACATTTTCGGCTTCATCAACTCTGACACCATCTGTGTCCTTTAATGTTTTAACCCCTCCTCAGGAATGCAAGCACACTGCATGCAATGCACACAAGCATGAACAGTTATATACACCCTGAGACTGCCAATATTCAGCCTTAGACATATCCAGCTGTGTATTTACTAATATTTGCATTGTCTCTGTCAAGTTTACACCCAAACCAGAAAACACAAATATGCTTTTACAACTTGATGATGTGCTAGTTACTAATCATGCCACTCAAACACCCACTATAGTCTATATATTCTGACAGTGATCAAAATGACTAATTAATGTTATAGACATAGTTTTTTAAAAACATTTTTCATAATATATACTTTTAAAATAGTATGTAACTGCCCATCATGCTATATATTAAACCCCTCACCATCACTGGAGTCTGGTCAGCTAGTCAATGAGGTTCGCTGGAAAGCCAGGTGGCCACAGTCCAGTCAAAGGATACAGGGAGCAACAGTAACCAAAAAACATTTGCATGCCCTTCACATCTCCCATGCTTTCTGGGTCAGGAGGAAGTCAACAGGAAGCCAAAGGCATGTGAGCCTTTTACATTCGGAAGTGAGGTGTGGTACACAGTAGTGGGATGCCAAATCTGCCACCATTTTGTGTCTGTTCATGAAACATGATCTCTCCACACACGTTTGATTTGGTTCTTGTTCTGCTTATGGAAAAGCGGAGGAACCGCAACAGAGCCATCACCTTCCAGTCTTCACCGTGCTGCTGAGACCACTGGAAAGTACAGCCTTCTCCACGCAAGGCTGGCGCTGCTCCTTCACTAGGGGCAGAAGTACGGGTGTTCCATGGGCTCCTTGGCAGTCAGTCTCTGTTGACGGTGAAATCACATCTGACAGTCCA